CAAAAAGAAGAAAGGCGTCATGTACGGTATTACTGGACAAAGGCCTGTAGGTCGCTCTTTAGGAGCTCAAGCACGATGTCACTATCTGCCGGTTTATACCTGTATACAACTTTCAGATCATCGACATACATGAAGGGGTTACTATTCTGAAATAATTCTGGTACATCGTTAACAAAAAGGAAAAATAATAGCGGGCCGAGTACACTACTCTGAATGACTCCACTCATCACACCTGTGGGGTTAGAGATAGCATGGGAAATCTTAAGTCGTTGTGTACGAGCGCACAGATAAGAGGACATACACTTCTGAAGTTTGCCAACTATTCCGAAAGAGGACAGTTTCAAGAGAAGAAGAGCATGGTGAACACGATCAAAAGCCTTAGTGAAATCGAAATATGCTGTGTAAAGTGCAAAACCATTGTCTCTAGACTGGACAACAGGATCAAAGAGAGAGAGAGAGAGTTGACAGGTGCCACAAGACCGAGTTTTGAGGAGTCCGTGCTAGCGGCACTCAGTAGGTTATTGTCTGTTAAGTGACATAGCACTTTATTTTTGGTCAATGTCTCTAAGATTTTTCGAAACTACTGGGGGGTAGGGTGGGGGGCGTTTATTGGTCGAAAGTCATCAAATGACGTAGATTAGTCATGCTTGGGAATAGGCAAAATGTGTAATTCCTTCCACAAGGTAGGATAGGTTTCACTTTCAAGAGCGGGATTAAATATCTTGCATAGGAAGGATGGTAAAATTGCATTTTCATCCGCATTTAGAATAGTTACAGGGACACCATTATACTCAGGGCTATGAAATTGACGAAACCACCGAATCGCAACAGACACATCCCACAGAGTGAAAGTTATAGTTTCGAGAACTGCCCCGGTCAATGCCTGGATGGTCGGAAGCAGAGTGGTCGAGTTTTTAATAAAAGTTTTGGCCAGGAAAGTATTGACACTATCAACGGTTAAGTGGGCATCAGATATAGGATTCCCGAGAGCGTCTGGGAGGGTGGGATGCTGCGCTTTTCTATGAGTTCGTACTTTTCGGGAGAAAAGTTTCAGGACATTTAACGAACAACTTTCGGTGAATTGGACCTCTTCGGCTAGCTATTTGTCTTCGGACAATCTCGTATCCCGCCCAAAAATATCACAGATCAAGGGCAGAAACGAAACATCGGTCCGAAGATGAAATCGACGAGGAAGTCTGCTGAACATACGGCGAACGGCTAAGGGTAAGAAAACCTATTCCGCGACATTAATTATTTTCTTACGAGGAACGAAACGAGAAATAGGCAAATCCAAAAATTCGTACGGCTTAGCAGTACAAACATTTACATCCGAAATTAGAAAGAAGTCAGTCCAATCGAAGGAATTAAGGTGTGTTAATAATTCGGTCGGGCGAACTGATCGGAAATCGAGGAAAAAGCTATACTTTGGGGATGACGTTTAGTCAGCCTCAAGATCTAACGTTGAAACAACTATGCCATGGTCTGAGCCACCGAGTGGGCCTAGGGATGACACTTACGAATGCATGCAGCTTCTACAGAAAATTAGGTCTGTTATGCTTGATCCTCGGGTGGGAAAATTGATAACCTGACTCCACATCCCAACATCCACAACCCCAAGAAAGTCTTCGAACCTTCTGGGGCCGGAGGGCGGAGACCAGAGGACTTCAGAAAGATTAAAGTCACCCGCAACCAAGTGATGTTTAAAGCTTAAGTCGGTCGCAGCATGAAATGCCAGTGGGAGTAAACGAGCAAAATTCTCATTCGCGTTGGGAGGGCGATTGACGCAGCCAAAGAGAAAGGGGGACTTATTTTTGATGCAACTTAGAGCCAGCAGCTGCCTTCTACCGCTGAAAAATTCGAGTAGTCCAGCGGCCGAAATGTAAGTGTTTGCTTAATGTAGACACAACTGTCCTTACCACGGCAGTCTTGACGATCATTCGGAATGCATGTTTAGCCTAGAAGCGAGAGTTCGGAGTCAGCTACGGAAGCCGATGCCCGTGTCTCAGTTACTAAAACAATATCTGGATAATGCACAAATACCAGAGTCTGAAGAAAAGGCATCTTATTTAGTAAAGATCTGGTATTTAGAACAAAACGTCTGAGGGGAAAAGCTGTTTGTTTCTGATGGAGGTGGGTTACGTCGTCCAGTGCTTGGCTGCCCACGGAACACACGATCCGGATGCACCAATTAAGAACTCTCTAGGACAATACCAAAGCAAGTTAAAATAAATACACAAGTGAATTTTAGAGTGAGTAAACATAGTCTCCACAGTACTCAATTCATGCTTATGAAAAACATTTAACGAGAAGTGAAAAAACTATTTTTTAAAAAAGACTAAATTAATGGGAACTGATTAGCTTTTAAGCAGTAAAAACTGCCGCCAATGAAAGGGCAACTATTTGGATCGGACAGGAGCCGCCTGCATATGGTACTCTACAAGGAATTCGAAACGGACATCGTCAAGGCAGAATTCTAAACCGGATGAGGCTTTCCGCATCAAAGTGGCGAGACAAGAGGAAGCCAGACGCGATTGCTCACAGTCCGCTTACAGTCCAGCCGAGGAGAGAACAGCAAAGACTGAGGCGGTCATCAAAACGTAGAGGGAAGGTATGACCCTGAGAACTCTTTGCAGACCGACCAAACTATTAGCAGATGGCAAGAACAGAAGATTCTGCCACGATCGTCAAGAGACCGCTTGGGGTCGAAATGAGGAGATGACACCAAGAACAGCGAAAATAATCGATTGAGGATGAGTGCACAAGATCTCAGAGGCCAGGGTAGATTTTTGATGAGGGTCGGCGTTCACTTCTTCAATGACATTCTATTCAGAGCAAAGCCATGTGGCCTGGAGTTCTAGTTTTATCGACCCACAGGACACTGCATTTATTCCCATAAAACGCAAAAGCCAGCCATCATACCATTTCTTGAGTCGGTCTGGGCTTTCCCGTAAATGTTTTTCGTCAGCTCCGATTCGGACGATGTCCCAAAAGGTGCCAACACCAGAAAGCATGACGACATCGAAATCCAGTTCATCGACGCAGTAGTGAACAGTGGAAAGCCAAGAACAGAGACTTTGGACAAATCATTCTCATCGGCAACCTCTCCCAAGTGCTGGCTGACTGGCATAAAGAGCTCGAGACCGGCAGATTAAAAAAAAACGTCGAATTCACCTCTGGGCATTACTCCTGACGCCAGTTCGACTGAGTTATTACAAGCGTCGCTATTGTGGTAAACAACTAAATGCCTTCTTAAGGTCATTCTATTCCTACCATTTACTACTAGAGTCCAGACTTTAAGGATGTTTTCTTCCAGCGCGACGATACGACAACTCCAACGGGTGCCTCTCTAAGTTTTTCAATTCGCTTATGTACTTATAAACCACTCGGCTCACGTCCATCTTGCGCATCTCTCACAATCCGAATGGACGAAACACAGAGACAACAAAACAATTATCATATCTTAGGAAACGCCTTCATTCCGTACGGAATTCCAGTCAGGCCAAGGAAACGAAAGGCCGCTGATTAAAAAGGGGTTTCAGGGCATTTTCCGGTGTGCACGTAATAATAGTTATACCGGCATATATATACTATATTTGTGGTAATTTGTGGGATTGTTTTCCAACTTTTCCTTCTATTTTCCTGTCCGTCCGGGTTTACGGTTCATCTGAGTTGATTTGACATATCTATTCAATACCCATATGGTCGTATATGACCTCCCCGGTAATGGCTTATTTTTACTCAGGATTTAACGCGTTGTTTAGAATTTATGCCACCCTTTGGCATATTACCTGGACAGCTTGTAGTTCTGTGGCAATTCTTCCAGTCCGTTTTCGTGATTTAAGCCATCGGGCTTCGAAATTTTTGCTACACTCCGTGTACGAACCGACGATGTCTTGCTCTAATGTCTGTGGCGGTTTTCTGATTTGCACCTATACAAGTTTTGACCGTGAAGTAGACCGTCTCGATAACCCCCGTAGATACGCCAGTATCTATATCGCTTTTCGACCAAAAATGTATCAACCACCTGACGTAAACGATGTGTATGCTTATAACTATGTTGAGGGCCTTCATAGCATCGAATTGTTTTTTCAGATACCCTAGATAACTTTTCTCAATCAAAGTGAGCAGGTTGATTTGACGATGACTTTGGGGTTATTAGAGAACGAACAAACAACGGGATAAAAGCTTTTGCAAGTTTCCGATCATGCTTAGGGACCCTACTGTTCAAGTAGAGAAGATGGGCAACGAACGTTACGGTAGAACCATCTTAAGGAACACGGACTTGTGAATACACTACAGCCGTTCCGCTCGGAGGCGAACCCAACTGCCCTATTTATAAACCTTTCTGCAGAGGTTCTTTTGTGGTTTAATTTGAATGTGCCCGAAATTCCCGGAATAATGAGGCCAAGTTATTCTGAAAATTTTAGTCACTTCTTGAATGAGTAGACCCAGACTATTCAGACCATGTCATCGCAACCTTTACAAATTGAACAATAGCCAATACGTTTAGGCACCAGGACCTTACCCTAGGGAGGGCTGTTTGATTTGCCGTTGAAATGTCGCAGTTTTACCATGTGACAAATCAAAGGTCTATGGCCGTGGTAAGGGCCTTGACGGGTAAGATAGTTAATCCTTATTTCGATCGGCAGTCAGTTTATTTAAGCGATTTGTGCTTTTTATTCTGTTTTACATCAAAGTGTCAACCTTGAGCTCCTCAGTGGTTCGTAGTCATGTGTTCTTATCTTCCGCATATGTTCTATTAAGATTAGTAGCGACGTGTATGTATACAAGGAGCCATTGAAGATTTACCATTTTTGCGCGGTCCGCGCAAATGTCCATCGTAAACTCCAAGCCCTAGTATTCTTTTTTCGTTCGCACCCAGCAGAATCAGTTCTATCCTTTAGCACACATCACGTTAACACGCTGTTTTTGGTCCTGGCCTCCTGCCTGTAATTTCTGAAGCTTTACCCTCCAGTGTCCCTTTTCGGGAGCTCTTTCGGACCTGGGACGCAGTATATCCAACGGCATAATATAGTTGTCTTCTCGCCTTTACCATTGCATTATAATTTGGAAACTACCGTATAATAAGTAATTAACAGCGGTTGAAGACCATCAGGCTCCCAGTTGCAATACGCCTGTGTCCACTCGGACCCTTCCATTTTCGATCTGCCTGCCAACATTGTCATTGTCTTCCTGCCATTATTTGCTCGCAGCTTCATCCTGGCCATGTTTCCAGACAATAAATACAATGATGTTTCCCAAAAATGCTGTTCATTCTCTTAGGTTATCATGGACATGGCCCCAATAATATTGCAGTTAGTACCACACGTGGCGATCAGACCTTGCAGACCGACAGTCTAACTGTTCCCATCTCTAGCAATGAAAACCGGACATTAGCGGTCCGGTGACCACCTCCATCCCTGGACAGACTGTCTCCAGCTAGGTTCTAGTTTGGACAGCTTGTTTTCGTCTCCTCCGAAAAGGTAGTCGTCAGATTTAGGGAAACAGCACAGAGCTTAAGGGACTGGTGACGATAAACGTACAAAGTCACTTCGGCTGTCTTTTCTTGATCTGAGATGTCCGTTCTATCTTTCCGCATCGAATGCGGCCTAAATTGAGATTTAACTGGTGCATTTCACTCAAATAATTGTCCTGTGGCAATGATAGTCGAATGTCTTCATTTTTATCTGTCTCATGCACACAGTTCGACCGTCGCGAACGGCGGCTTCCACCACTGTCCTGCGAGGTGACCCTTCGGTGACTTTGGGGGAACTTGGCCGTGATGAAGCAGACTTCCTCTGCATCTACCCAACCCTTTCCTCCCACACTTGCCATGCTCAAATGGCAAGTGTGGGCGCTATAGCTGGAGAAATTGAGCAGCTCACCTACGCGTGCTACATACGACCTGGCCTAACTTTGCGTGTACCAAACTGTCTTTACACAGGGTTCCGGATTAAACGTACATGAAAACACCAGAAAGGCCCATTGGGAAGGAACTATTGCAGTTCGATTCCCAGTCCTGAGAAGGACCGAGTTACCGTGTCAGTTGGTAACCCTCTGGGCCATGACTGATTGTGCCTTGTGACGCATTCAAGCGCCTCAATGTTGTAGTGAGGAATGCGCTAATTTGCCACGGAACTGGGTTTCCCACTGTCGATCTCCCTCGCTCTTTAAGTTTCCATTCATTAGTGGCCTGTCTGAATCAGGCCAAATGATGGCGAGATTAAGCACAGTGGTTGAACAATCTAAATCGCCAGTCTACGAGTGTTACGCACGACCTGCTTCCTTCGACACATGTACCAAGCCACACCAAAGGACACACATTTCACGCATGCGAAACGATAACATTCTCACATGCGAAGTCTCACCCATAATAACGACGTCGGCAGATTTCATGGCGTTCGTTTTGTATGAACGCTGTTTGATGTGCCCCTAGAAGGTATCGTGCATAAAGGGCAGTTCGTTTGTGCAGATAGACCGAAGTTTTACGATGGTCCCTAGGCCGTGTTATTTTACTGCAATTTTTTTTGCATGTGCATATGGCCGAATAGACCCATGCGATGGCTTACTGCACGAGGAGTGTGTACACAGGTGGGACGGAAGTGCGGCGTGAGTGTCGGCGTTCCTGACGCTGGTTTGTGGGTCTCAGTGCGATGGATTTGCAAGTGACCGGCTAGGCCGATGCGTGATTGGGGAGCGCGGTCGTAATGGGACCGGTTGAATTCAGTCCATATCGGTGGTGAAGGGGGCGATGGTGGTGATTGGAGACAGTATGAAGGATCGTTCTCATCAATGATTATGGTAGTGATGTTTTGTGAAATGGGTGACAGGATGATGGTATTGAGTGTTGTTGATGTTTGAGGTCTACTCCGTGGAAGTAGTCATATAGGCCCAATATTTCTTGTGGCCTCTAGCAACCTTCGTCGTCATCTTTTGGAATCCATGGATTGGCATTCAATCCTGAGATCAAGCTCGAGTGGTGTGAGCAGACAACTGTAGGCCTCTTGGGCTGATACAGTCACTCCGGCGCCAGTGAATGAATCCGGAGATTGTCCAGTTTGGCACTTAGACAGGGCACTTCAACAGCGGGAATTTGCCACTGCCTCCTTCTTCGACCCAGACTTTAGAACGAAATTGCATTTCTACATTCATTGCCTCAGCTGTGTTCGACAAACTGTATAACGTCAAGGCTCATTGCGAGAGGCCTGTTGGGCGTAAATAGGGGAGTACACGTTTTGACCCATTGACTGTGCCAGCTCCGGCAGCATACATCGATCTGCTATAACGCATGTAAATAGGAAACATTCTGTTTACTGGAGTGAAGGCGTTCTGATTAACCACCTACTCATAGTTGAAACAGCAAACCGACAAATGTTTGCGGTGAAGCTGGAAGAACGTATTAAAAACGAACAACCGTCTCTGATAAACGAGGCTCATTAAACTTTTGACATTGTCGCAGCGAAAACCATGCCCAAAGCGCTGACTAAGGGGCTTGTTTGAAGGGTCATCTGGTTTAGTCCGGCCACTCTTGTTGCGACAACGATCGACCACGATCAGGTAGTCTTTCGTCCAGTTATTGCAGCTAAGGGGAGGTTTGTCTGTCGTGCTGGATGGGAGTTGACGTCGGCGAATAGGCGGTTGGGACATGCCATTGGGACACCCTTTATAGTGTACGTAAGTCAGCCAGTAATCGACTAGTTCCCCCTGCAAGTACCATTCTGTCCGCTTGTTTCGAACGGGCGAACGCAACACCGTCGATATGAAGGGCAGAAGATGAGTCCTCCCCCAGGTCTCCTGGGAGTCTGAATCGGGAATTTGGAATTCTGACCGTTCCGTTCGCGATTTAGCTCTACAGATTATATACCATTCGCCAGCGCCATTTGACCCGAGCTGTGGAGCCGACTTGTTCAATTGGACACCGTAACGCATGTCGTATCAGCGTTTTCGAATATTTCATGCTAAGACCATTTGAAACATTCGTTTCTAATCGTAGCAAGTGAATTTCATTATAATTTTTTACTTTTTTTCACGAGAAAAGAGACACCCCCATAATCTCGACCCAACTAAATGCACTTATTCAGTGATGATTTCGCCCGTCAGAACACCTCCGTAGACTGAATTCCTGCTGTACCTTTCTGTACTCAGTCAGGTGAATTTTTAAGCTTGCCCTCCGCTGTGAGGCTTTTCATGAACTTCGGGTGCAAATGGGTCCCCAACAGATGCCACTTTCGTTCATCATAAACTAACCGAAGTCAGCGGTCGCAAGGGCAGTTACTCAGCAGCGACTCGCGGTCGTCATACCGTAGTACCGTTATTGGGCTTTGAAGGTATTGATAAGACGGTTGGTGTGCCAGACCTCATCTTGCCGCCCCGTGCTAACGCTGTAACTGCTGGCATATGATGGCTTATAGTCGCCAGTCGCACCTCTATCTATTTCGCAGTTCCATTATCCGTGGACGTGCTGGGCTAATAACAACCAAGCTAATGGGCAGATTCGTTTTCCTTTCATTTATTCCACTGTTTACGTTGAAAAATGAAGTTTGTATGTGATACTTTGCCCCTCTTTTCTTTTTGGGCGCGCCTCCTACGTCTGCAGTCCAGAATCCACTAGCTCTCAAACTGACGACTTCTTCGATGACCTGAAAATACGAATTTTACTTTTTGTTGAGCGAGATAAAACAGTAGAATGAAAAGTGTCTCAAAACAATTTCGTAAATTTTTAGGCAGACGATTTGCAACCAGCACTGAATGCCAAGTAAAATCAGTTAGTCAGTCTTAGCAAATGGACACTTGCGCAGTAGCCTGGGGAATGTATCTTGCAATATGTCCGATAGCTGCAAACCATAACCATCACTTTCTATGTGAAATAGACCCAAGTACCAAAATGTCCATACATTCTGACACAGGATCTACTTATGCATTTCTTGAATTATTTATCGGCTTACGTATTTCAGTATTTGTAGTGAAGCAGCTATCTACTCCTCAATCCCATCCGCTTATATTTTAGGGAACTTCACCGGCCCCGATGATCTTAACTTGATAATCGTCAAAAACACGTGTGTGGAAGTTTTCGATGTGACTGTCGAAGGCCTAAAGCAGTTGCGTGATGTTCCCGTTAATGCGAAGATCGTTTCTGCCCTCCTCTTTCGGCGAAAGGTATTTTCTACCGTTCGTATCTACGCTGTCATTGCACGTCCGTAGGGTCAAAAGTCGGACTCCCTCTTCCTCCTCACTGGCAACGCTGAGGTTGCCATCATCGAGTGCACTCGTACCGATAGCACAATCGAATTCACGACAGTTTCGTCGGGTAGCATAGCGGTAAGTTTTGCCTTGTACCCCCAGCTCCATCATATTCCCCCTCTTCAGGATCGAAGTGCCCGTATGATTGATCAAGGCATCGATGCATTAGTTGATCCGGAGGCAAGTTACATTGTGATTAGACTATATCACGGCCTCCTCAATGTCATACCGTTGCGTAGCCTTGGCGATAGGGCTAACGCTTCAGATCTGCTTGAGGGCGGCCATTCTGCCTTGAGAGCACACAGTGTGAGAATAGAGGAGGGCAACATTGTGGATATGGCTTTTCTTCATGGCTACAGCCTGCCCACCTTTTCCTTAATATATGAGGACGAGGTGGTTTTGCACATGAAGACCTACGAGATATTTGGTAGGGAGCCGGCTTTCCGCTCTGTTCCGCCCACTCTCGATTCCATCGAACCCGACTCGAAACTCCTCATTCCCGTACCGGCGCCCTACGGCGGCCTCATCTTGGCCGGTGACAACATCATCTGCTACCACGCTAAGGACGGTCCTCACATATCTCAATACATTCCGCAGACCAAGGTTAGTCTTGGCGTTACTGTATTCATCTGCTCGTTCGTTCGTGCGTCCGTCTGTGTCATCAGTCGTTTGTTTCTACCCCTATAGGCGAGCCAAGTTCTCTGCTACGCTCAGGTGGATGCGAAACGCTATCTCCTAGGTGATATGGCTGGTCGACTGTACATGATACATCTCCTTCTTGATGAACCCACGTCCACGGCGGGATCGTCCTCTCTTGTACAAAGCCAGAATTCAACCACTGCTGGTTCTCATCGCATCGGCTCGATTCGTATTGAACTACTGGGTATGAACACAATTTTTGTCACCCTCTTTCTCACAGGTCTACTTAGCTGACATTGTTTGCGCAAACCGTTTGCTCAGTTGAGAGTTTTTGTCTTATCAGTTGTGTCCACAAGCCTCCAAATCTTTGTTTCAGAGTTTCTTTCTCTTACGATTAACCCAGTCTTCCGGGCTCAATTGTATTCTGGTTTTGCCAATTATTGCTTCGAGAAGACTACCGTCAACGTTCCCTTTACTTGACGTTATATAATGTTTAGAACTTTATTATGATTGCTTTCTTCTAGTACTGAATACTAAGTATGGACAGAGATGGTGTTAAAAGTATAGCAGCACTTTTTCAGGTTCACACAGCCTCTGATTTTCTCAACTTGGAGCTTTAGAACCATCAGCCAATGAAAAGGCGAAAGTTATGCTTATCTCCTTCAACTTTCACTTTCCCATCCTTACACGCCTCGGTGAAGAGCCGGACGTAGGGTTGCCTTTCTCGCCCTGCCATCGCAGTAGTTATTTTCAGTGCGGCAGAATACACCAGATGATTAATAAAAGTTGCTGGGCACATTCTGCCGAATCTTGGATATAAACTCGGACCCATCTCAAATTGCCCAGTAGGCATTTATTTGGCCGTTTGACAAGGCAAAGTCAACGAGATATGTTAAATTTAATGACGTCATGAAATTTTGCGACTTTCATTTAACTGCGTACGGCCATTGCATATTAATAAGATAAACTCCTCACAAAAACGGCATACAATCTGTAGGCCTGAATGAGTTCTTCGGTGCAGTATCTTGTTATATCTAGCAGAACAGAGGTGAAGAGCGAGACTGTATCGAGTGAAACCATTATCTCGTCCGTCGCAACTCTTACTCAGTTTAATCTGTCAAGGAACTCATTTGAATCTTCAGTGGAATTCTCAGAGTTCTTTGTAGGCGGAAGTTGTTGGTGAACTAGCCTTCTGGAGATTTTGTAGTTTGGTGCACCAATTAAGGAAACTATCGGCCGCAGTGGAGTACCCGTTTCGTGAGCTCCAGGAAGTCCATGTATCTTGGCAATTGTGGGTTTATCCCTAATTTAAGGATTTGACAAGAACTCTGAGAACTTCATTAAAAATTCAAGTGAGCTCCTAGACAGATTAAATTGAGTGAGAGTTGCAACCCACAAGAAAATGGTTTCACTCGATATGGTCTCGCACTTCGCCTCTATTCTGCTAGATTTAGCGAAACGCTGCACCGAGGAACTCCTTCAGGCTTATTCCACAGATATGCCTGCCGAAACTTTGTCCCCAACATTTCCCTTATCAAACAATGCCATCGACAACTGAGGGATGCGCCTATGGGCTCGCCTATATATCCGGCTTCCTGGCGGGAACCATTATGCAGAAATTGAAAAGAAAAATAAAAACGGAGAATGCTGATTTGGCATGTGAATGGGCATGATGTGAAGGGGAGGAAAGTTGTCTAGATGGTCGAATTCGGGTTACAACGCAACCTCTTCCAGCGGGATTATGACTGCACAGCTTGGAACACTGGTCATGTGGGGGCGGGGGGGGGTGGGGGGGCGAGAGGAGGAAAGAGGTTATTTCCGTCATCAGCCGCGGTAGTACGAGGTGACGCAGTTGTTTACGTAGTTCTGGTTTTCCGATCCGTGTTGCAGCGGCTTCTGAAAAGCGCATGAGACACCTAGTGGCCCCCCGAAGTAGGACTTTACATGCAATCATTGGGTCCTAAATAGCGGTGGTGGGTTTGCCGCATAATAGTTCTTTTTGGTGTCTAAATGCATCATGCATATCTGCAGCTCGGTCGCGTCGCTATAACATTGCTCCCTGCTCCAGGAAAAACATAAATTCTGTCATGTAGAAGTATCATGTCACTTGTTCGACATTAAATAACCGGATTTGTCGGCGGAACAAGAATTGCTTCTTTCAGTAGCTTCCTTCTTAAATGCTGTAAATCAGGCACACCGCCTATCGAGTTCACATTGGAGATGGAGACGGCCGATTTGCTGCTGTTTTTGGATGTCCTAAACCGGAGACCTGATGGCAGCATCCGAAGGAGCGGCTACCAAAAGAAGACTTGGTCTGAACAAGATACGAACTTCGGCAGTTCCGTGCCCTAAACAAAAGCGAAATCTAGTCCGGTGTTTGACGTAAAGGGCTAGAAAATTTTTTTCGGCAGGAGGAGGTTCTTAGAAAGATCCGAGACTTGCTTCGCGAAAACGGGTATCCTGATGGGTTTATTGCAAAGAATATTGCCCGGCGACCAGAATAACCCACCGCACTGACTGTCAAAAGGAAATCGTCGTTCCTCAAAGTCCCATTTCAAGAGGATGCTGCGAGTGAACCCTTAAGAAGACACCTTGTTCAACCTGTCTCGCGGACCTCCCCAGCATCAAGGATTTAAATTTATTCTTTACTATCCTTATTTTACGCAGACATGGTAAGGATAGGTTGCCATCTCAGACCACTTCAATGTGTATTTACTCCTTCACTTGCTCCTGTGGAGCAGGTTATATTGGTCGCACGAGTCAGCACCTAACCAAAAGGATACCGGAACATCTCCCGGCATGCCTGGGAAAAGCAATATTAGGAGCATAAACAACGCCATTCTCGTACATGTTGATTCCGAGCATCATGCGAACCCCAACGGGACGATTTATAGAGTCCTATCGAGCTACCCTGAGCTACTGGGCCAGCGCCTGTTAGCAACAGCAGAAGCGGTCGCTGCCAAGTTACGAAAGCTGGTTTTGTGCGCTTAGAAGAACCTCGTTCAGGCTCCGCGCTTACCGTGGTCAAAGGTCGACTAACTACATGTAACTCCCCGAGCCCTTCCGCTCTCACCCCCCTGGCATCGACATTTATTCCCTTCCACTTATTTCCATAACCCGCGTGTGTTGAAAGACCAACTTTAGTCGATTTCTCTAATCACTGGTATGTTTTGCTTGACCCCATTCCAATTAAGTGTATTGGCCTGACAGGAATTTATCGAAAGCAAACGTATGCCCGCCAACCAGTCTTCTGTGGAACTTACCATTCTCAGTCACTTCGTTATTTCGACTGACACTTAACACATTTAGGGATCCTCGTGAGGATGCTCAACACATTCATAATGATTATCCTGGAGTACCTTAGTTATTTGTGCCACCAATTTCTTCACAAATTTGGTAAACCAGACATTAATGGATCACTTTTAAGGAGCTTCATATCTAACCTCTTCCTTTTACCCATACGTAGTGTTACCCGTCACAACTAATTATCCGCAGAAGTTTTTTTCCGCATATTTGACGACTTCTTTCCCCACATTGATAGGCGAGACCGTGATCCCGGAGTCCATTGTCTACTTGGACAATGGCGTGGTGTTTGTCGCCACCTTCCTTGGAGATTCCCAGTTGATACGTCTTAACCCCGACCTGGAGTCTGAACGTAACAGTTACATAACTGTACTGGAGCAGATTACCAATATTGGACCGATCGTGGACATGGTGCTGCTGGAGAGCAAAGGCCAGAATCAACTCATCACCTGTTCGGGTGCTTACAAAGAGGGCAGCCTGCGCATTATTCGTAGCGGTATCGGCATTCAGGAGCATGCCAGCATCGATCAAGAACAGATAAAAGGTGCAGTCCTGTTTCCCTGACCAGTCCCACGTCATCTACTGTGGTACTTGATTTTTCCCGACCACCTGCTTCACTATCATTGTGAAGGCAAACACTTGTGGTGCTGAAACTACCAGTAGCCTTCTTGTCCTTTAGCAAATCTCCCACCTTGAAGAGTCTTGGATTATATTTTCGACTGTTGTTTCAGGTGTTTGGTGCTTCCCTTTCGAATCCCCGTCAGTTGATGATTCCATTGTGGTTTCGATGGTTGGCCAAACCCAGTAAGTATGCATCTGTAATCCTGTTTTTTTAATGCGATTTACGCTCGTAATGAGCATTCTTACCATTGTTTACCACTCCCAGCGAAACGTACCACCTCAGCCATACAATCCAAATCGGTATTAAAGTTTATATTTCAATGGAGGCCCTACTAGTATCTTATCTCTTTCTAAAGTAGGAAATACACGCCTGTTTGGGTTAGCCCGTCATCATCGGACAGGTCAACCTCATCAAAGTCCGAACAGTCCAATTAGGCAATGCTGCCCGTCCTCACCCTATCTTTTTTATATCTGCCTCCTTCCCTTCAACTTATCTTCATTGTCGACTTGATTCCTACCCTGGCCAGGTTAGTGGGGCCCGGCAAACCTACCTGTTCCTCTCCATAACCCAGCCTCGATACAATCCTCACGCTCGAGCGTGTTATATGCTTGCAAACGACCGTTCAGTTGCTTTTTGTTACCGATAAAGCGTTAATATTTCTGTAGAAAATCCCTAGTACTACTAAAGTCGACTGGGTTAATTGCGTATATCAGTTAATTTAATAACTTATTTCCGCATCCTGGCCTTAGGCGCTCTTACCAGTACGCAAACGCTAAGGACGGACTTACTGTGTTCTCTTATCTGCGCACAAGTCCACTTTCGTCCTGGACTATACCACAGACCTTTTTCATTTTATGCCGTATTTGTATTTCTCTATTGTGCGCTTATAACATCAACGTTTACGCACTTAGATGCATCTCTAGCAGAATCGACGCATATTTTCCCCCTCTACGGTCTAAAAGACATTCTTCTGGAATTTTCGGTTCGCTTAAGCAACCTGCAAGCGTGGCTTTAGTAAACATGCAACAGTTGACAAAATTAATGACATATTTGTGGTTTTGCGAACTGTCTCAAATGGTTCAGAAACCGCCACGGGTACACCAGACAAAAACGCACGAAAACTATCTCCAATAAAACGAAGGCATGGGAAGGTAGTGAGGGTAACATCAGGTCCTTGTCAAACAGTACTTTTTGAGAAAAACGTAAATGTTGAAAATGTAAGCAGTGGATTTTGTAAAACAAAAGAGGGTGCCGAAAATGGATAAGCAAAGGTAAATATGAACAATAAAGTTCGAAACAGAGGCTTCCCATTATCCTTCAGTTATTCTTATTTGCTCGAATAAGGGATGGAACAGGCACTATAATAGCCGTCCGATCTGTTTCAGTATTATGCATAATTGTCAATAGACCGCTGGGAACCATCCTCAAGCATGCCTTGCTGTTATTTTTCAGCAACCTAATACGACATCACGGTTGCATATATGGCACTCGTCTAAGACTATCAAGTGGTCAAAACGCGCCGAGTAAGGGCCCGGATCGTGTGTGGCACACGTAGACGGACCTTTTGGCCTTCTCACTCAGCACTCCCAGTTCCGGTCGCTTTGATTTTACCACGCCATAGGACCGCAATGAGTGTGGGAAGAGAGAGAGAAATAGATAACGTGCAAGTGTACTTCACTGTAAACAAGCTTACGCACTAGTCAGGTTTGTGTGCACTTTGTGAGGGATCGGCAAACCTCCTTGCTTACTACGGTCGGACCATCAGTTTCGTCTCTAGAGTGGTTCAGTGAACAGCACCGCCTCAATTCCGCCTTTTTAATGAGCAAAACAACGCAGATGTCAGCCGAAAATGCCGTGTTGCCTACTCTGAATTTGTCACTGCTTTTGGCGGATTCATTTCACCCGCTAATTTGCACACACCTCTGACGTTCTGCACTGTTTGCTTTAGACTTCTGCGATTGTCAGATGATGACATTGTTGCCCTTCATCTGGAGGGCTTCAAAACGGACGAGCAGACAGTTTACTGTGCTATTCTTACGCCCTCGACCGGAGTCAACCCTGGGACAGATGCTGCGGCAGGGGCGACCTCTACTCCCCATCCCCTCCTCTTGCAGGCCACGACGTCTGGCCTGCGTCTCATTGGCATTCAACAGCTGCTCGGAAGGGGCTGTCTGTCCACCTGGACACCTCCCACCGGACGCAGTGTTTCCTGCCTCTCCTCCTACGGCAACCTCATCGTGGTAGCCAGTGGCCCCGACATTTACACCCTCCGCGTCACAGAAACCACCGCGGCGCCAGCATTTACCGAATTGGGGTATGAGTCTGGACACGTTGTGCACCAGGAAACTTACTTCGTTCCCAGATGGCCATTTAGGAGTGTTTTATGGCTAAACAACTTTTGAGACGGATTCTGACACACCTTGTTCAAGTCGACTGACCTACGCCTAGCGAAGAAGGAATCATTCTGGTGTCGGATCTGCCTAAAAGTCGTTGATGCGTGCCTGTTCATTCTCAGGTCTTTTTTTAAGTAGGGTGCGTCCCTCCCAAAAAAGAAATTCTTTTGTTGAAGGTTACGAGATTAACCTCCCCACGTATAGACGCCTGATATCATTCTTAAAGTTTATTTTATAAGGCATTTGTCATAGATCGCATGATTGTTAACCAGTCAACCAAGCTACTTTTTCTCAGAACTCAACGTATTCGCCCGTTTGTACCATCACAGCATGCCAGTCAAGCGTTTGAGGAAGAGCGCGTGACAGATTTGCAATAAATAATTTGCTATTGTTTGATTAAAAGAAACGAAATCGATTGCAGGGACAGCCAGTACGTCTTCATGATCTCTCTGACCGTCACTGGAGTTCATCGCCAGTCCAACAGCGAAAGATAACTGCTCAATAACGGGACGTAGATCGATATCCTTGCTTGTGGAGCTGCCAGGGATTCAGGCTTCAAGTGGCTATTGTCTTGCTGCCGGTCAGCCTCCGCGAGGTCGAATTTTCGTTCTGCCTCGAGGTGTGGCAGCCATCGACCTCTAACGGCAGGTCATCCCTGCCCACTGTCAGTCTGTGCTCGTCGAGTGCAGCCTTCACGCGTCTTGGAATTCGATAAACATCCACTCCGCGGCCAAAGCCGACGCTAGGCACTGCGACAGTACCTTTTGCGACTCTCGAAACATCTGTTACATGGCAGAGGACGCTAAAGCTCTTAGGCGCCCTTTTTACCGCTTTGTACGCGAGTAGGCGGCGCAGAGTTATAGAGGTTGAGAGATAAACGTTTCGTACGCACTGGTCACGTAAATAATGGACTTTTTGTCATGACTGTTCTGGTAACGGACCTTTCATTCCCTCCTTTTCAAAGACTTCCTAAAACTCCCATTGTCTCCGTTTTTATCTTTGTTGGTTTTTTCCCCTGTGGGAGATATTCATGCGTGCATGTCGATCAGGAGGGTTTTAAGCAACTTACTATACGGGCAACTGTGACTACAAACACTTCTACTTTTTGTTGACATCGCGAGCAATTTTTCCACCACTACGACTTCTACGAAGGCTTTGCTCCTTGCCATTGCAGTTCCTCAAAACATACGCACAGCAAAAAGGAAAATGCCAAAAATGGTTTTATGAGGGAACCGAATGTTGTGATAGACTCTTAAGTTTGGGGCTGGATAAAGCTAAAGATCGTCACCCTTGGGAAAGACACGTCTGGTCCTCGTTTTTCAATATAGCTCCGGTGACTCACTCTGTGTTTTAAAGTTAGTAAAACTTCAGGTGTGCGGACACTATTCTCCTTATTAATCTAGTTAGGAAATAATGGAGACTTGTTGGATGCATTGTTAGTCTTCGGTTAAAGTGTTGATTTGAAACGCTACGCGGCTTACTTAACGCGCTTTCAGTAGCTATGCGCATCTCACGATAAAACTGCACTCCAAATTTTTGTTGCACGCCTTACAACTATCTTGTCCCAATTTTTGATACTTTTTGACCTGCCGCGTCGCAGCAGGATCGGCAGCTCCGGCATCTGGTCTCTTGCTCAGCATGATAATCGTAATTGCGTGTCTTGCTCCTGGCCACCTTTTTGTAATTTGACTCCAAGCCTGGACACTTGTCGCTGACTGTGGTTTTCTGCTATTCAAAACACATTCGCTTCGTTCATGATGACTACCGACGTGTATCGCGTTTAAATACACACGGTTTTGACTTCTTTCTCCCCCTGGGTACGCAAGTGCCTCGTGTGACCGCGTAATTCTTGCTAACTCACCCAAGAACGCGTTGGCTTGCACCATTTGACGATAGGCCGGCCATCTGCGAGCTGTCCGGCATGTGCACAAGTCGTGAGGGCGTAACACCTTTCAGCGTAGGGCTGCCGCAAAATTAACGTGCTCACCGACTTGACGATCACACGGTGGCCGTCCACACAACGTTAGCACCCGCGGATCTGGCTGGGCACTGCTCCGGGAAATGCATTACTTATGCCGCCATTTCAGGCCAAAGAGGTATTACGACACGGTGAAGGTTTCCTACCATCTACTAAGGCTTCGCCCGCAGTTGTCGCCTGATTTATCAGGGTCCCACTCATTTTCCGGGCAGGAATGGGTACTTCGTCTGTATCACTTCTCCACAAATTTCAGTGGACCTGCATGGATTCCTAAGTTCCACTCGTGTTTCGGGGTCCGCGGGAACTGACGCGTTCGTATCTCTATCAGGGGGGTTGGGTGTCAATTATGGGGGGCGCGTTTCTTTGACAAGGAGAGCAATTCTGTATTGTCTGCTGCAACCTACGAACTTTCAAAGACCAGGCATCAACTCCTGGTGGTACACACCCTTGCTGTCTACTTGATTGACACTGTCCATCTGTCAGAAGTCTGGTTTCCTGAGCTCGTCAGCAGAGTAATCAATGTGCGAGAATCAGAGGTTGTCTACCACCTAAAGTGTCCGTTACAGTGCTGTCTATGAAGACTTTAGCCTACATGATGGCATGCTCATGCCGCACTAGCAGGCGGACAAGGGGCTATTGTATGAATACATATTTCTGTCTGCATTATCCTCACACGACTGAACGGCAATAAAAGTATAGTTGATGTCTGTTCCCCCATGCTCAAAACTGAGGAGATGAAAAAGATCAGTGTGCCGACCGCGTTCGTGATGCTTTATCCCGTACATGTTTAGGAGGCCTATAATGCATGCATCAGTAAGGTCGATCCAACTACCCACCATGTTTTAGGAAATTTTACCATCGTTAGTGGACGCGACAATGACGACGCCTTTCCTGATTTCGTTGAAGCTGCCCGGGTAATTACAACTACGCTGGGTTTCAGAACCCCAATAGACATCTGTGTATTTGGCGTTTTTATTGACATGTGGATCCCCGCACAGATTGGATTGGACAGATACAGGCCATGACTAATTCCCAGTGCGTGAGATCGGGACAGACGGTGAGGAAAACTCTGGCTTGTGATGTCTAGCCTGCGCGTGCGCCTCGAAGTGCTCACAAGGTCCACTCCACCGGAAATGTTACATTTTTACAATGAAACAGCCAACCTCCTTCACTAGAACATTACTAACCGTCTTGTTTTGCTCGACGACCATGGCTCCCAGCCACCCTGTGTTTTCCGTAGAATGGGCCCTATTTAGGAACGTCAACATCAAGACCTCGCTCTTCTATGCTGGTTGCAGCGGACACGAGCCTAACCACGGTGTATTGACCGTCATCATTCAGTTGGCGGGTAATGTACGGCGCGCTCGGATCACTGAGGCCCCAAATTCAGAGCGCAGCATCTTTGGACGGCGTGGCCAGTGAGAGCCGACTAAAACTGATCTTGCCAGAAAGTTGCGCCGGAATTTGGCGAGCTCCCACTGCTGGCGACAAAAGAAAGCTCCAGCAAATTTTCGGCGTTCATTAAGGTGCAATTCAGCGGCCCACGAAACGATCAAAGTAGCCATCAAATGACTCGCACTCCGATGGCTCGAAAGAAACTGACAAGTGCTCAGCTCTGAGGTTTCTTTACACCCCTAAAGGCGTCTTACCGTGTAACACCGTTTTACGAATTGTATAGATCACCCCCCTTGTAGGGGGCATCCATTTTATGCACAGTAAACCTCACCATATGAACTTCTGGAGGACGCAGCCCTGTTTTTCAGTTGATGGACAGTATTATTGCTCCTGGTCTCACCGACACTTCCTTTATAATTTGCCCAAAATATGGCGTTTTCTGCGCTTTTGCATCTGCACCCTTGCGTACGTAACAACAACTGGTTTATAATTATCACAGGGCGAAATCTGTGATGATTTGTCGCGACTCCATGCCGACCACATCGTACCCTTCGTTGTCCCTTAATTTGTTGTTGAAGGCTCCTTGGTTGTTTGATTTCCAAGACCGGCTCTTGCCCAGTCGGGCGTTTCCCAAAGATGCGACTCAGTGCCTAGTAAGAATTGTAAGGAACGTCGAAGTAAGAACCTCCTGTATTTTACCCATAACTATCCCAAAAGTGAGACTCAAGCTACCTGTTTTCCGGAGCTGTGGACAAATGCAACTTCACCTTTCAGTTTTTGCTCTCTTAGAGACTTGCATTCACATAAATTTTCAAAACCTGTCGATTAAATCATGTGAATAGCATTCGTGCCTAAATTCTTCTCCACAGACACAAGGTTCTGCCTCATGAAGTGGCCTGCATTGACATGTCCCCCTTCGACAGGACCAAGTTATTGGCCGCCAACCAACTCCGTTCCCCAAGATCACAGTTACAGTCCCCTCAGTCAGTGAGTATGCATTCAGCCGATGAGAACCTTGAGACCTTGTTCTGCAGTGAGCCGCAGTACGCCGCTGTGGGTCTATGGATGGGTCATGGACTGGCACTGCTACAATTGCCGTCCCTGGAAGTTGTTCATTTGGAGCCACTGCCTGAGACAACAGCCTCCACTGGCACCGCAGTGCTTCCGCGCTCCATCCTCATTTCCCAGCTGAACGACACTGCTTTCCTGTTTGCGGCTATGGGCGACGGAGCCCTCTATTACTACACTATCGACTTCAATGCGGGTAGGCTGTGCTTGGTGTTGAGGTGTTCTGATCGCAAGGCAGGAACTGACATCTGACTTTGTGCCTACTCTTCTCCCCTTTCAGAAAACATCGTTCTGCGCGATGCCAAGCGTGTCAATGCTGGTACAGGGCCATCCATGTACCTCAGCCAGTGGCGTTCACACAACAAAAATAACGTGTTCGTCTGTTCCAACCATCCCTGCATTGTGTACTCCGTAAAGAATAAACTTGTCTTTGCGAATGTGAACTTGAAGGAAGTCGGGTGGATGTGCCCCCTAAACGGCTCCTACTACAAAGACTGGTACGCATTTGTTATCCATGCTGTTTTTGCATTACTCGGTGTTAAGTTCGTCTGTCACAATGGACTGTCATCACAGCCGTCCTAACAACAGCACAGGGGGGCGACTGACTCACGAACTACACTATGGTGAAACAGACTGGTGAACTGATGCTTAGGGGATGGAAGAGAGAGAGAGAGAGGTCGACTCTGTGGACTCTATCCCCACGGCACTTCAGGGAATTCCCCCACTGTAAATAATCTTACGCTCCCTCAAACTGTCACAATGCGCAAAACGCCGTGAATTGGAAGGCTGCCCACTGACATAATAACTCGGTCCTCTTGTGACGGAAAAGCCACACTGCAATGGCTTCTTCATACTATGGCCTGTATGGCACTTCCACTTTGTTGGGATCCGATCTGATCCGTCCCGTTCTTGCTTTTGTGAAAACCTGATCCACAGTGCGCAGACGGGCTATTTAACTTTGTCAGTCACTGCTCCTGATCCGACCTCCAGTCTTCCTGGCAAGACGGAGTCAAGATGGTTGGAGCCGAGCACGAGCACTGACTGACGAGACTGAAGACACGTTTACACACACTACGCGCTTTCGGATCCCTAACTCAGTACGTAGCAGGCTTCGATGAAGAGGATCATCTCAGGTATTCTATGAGTGAAGTGCAATAACATGCTTGAGTCCTAAGAAGGGCAAATTGTCTCGTCAGCTGACTATCTTGTACGCCTCGATTGTTAGCGCGTTGGGATAATTTTAAAGTGCATTTTGTTTGGTTTTGCAGCCCCACTTGATTGACACCGTATGGTTAACTTACCAAAGCATTCCTTACTTAGCCACTCGCCGAATTAGGAAGGGAAAGGGAGCGCAAGCGGAGCTCGAAGCACGCGCAGGGGAGCAAGTGAGGCTGGTGTGTACACTCCCCCGATACAGTCACTTGCTGGGCTAAGAGAATAAGGAGGGCGCAATCACAAGTGGAAGACCACGGATGGAACCGCGTGGTAATTCGCAGTGCATAGTCACTGTGGTGGAACCGACGGAGTTCCGCACCGTACAAACAATTCCATTAGCAAGTCTACTTAGCCGCTCGCTGGATTGAGATAATAAAGAGAGTGCAAGCAGGGCTCAAAGTACGCGCAGGGAAGCGCACGTAGAATGATACCTGAAGTAACCGAGGGTGGCGTATAAGTACTCCCTTCCGTGACACAATTACTCGGTGGATCAAAATAGTAAGGAGGATGTAAATACGTGATATTTGTAAAGTCGGCTTATTCTCATCTACCGATTTTTTTAGAAAGCCAACCATATGATATCACTTCAGTGGGGCTGCAGGACCAAACCTCACCGAGGAAACTAAACGTTGGACTCCAACCCAGTCGATCGGCCCCTTCTCTGTCCCATACCAGTTAGGTGTCCGCACCAGCCCGGATGGAAATGAGATTGGACGCAATAGTTGTGCGACATTAAGCCCTCCCTCTAGCGCGTGGCACAAGTCCCTTTAAACAGGATCCCTAAGGTGCGGTTTGGTGCACTGAATCCCAGAAATCTTCAGGGGAGGATGTCTGTTTTGCCGCTCTTTTATGCCATTCACAGAATGGATGCACGTTCATAAAGATAGGAAAATCTTGGCCTCAGAAGGTAAAGCCATACACCAACTTTCTTTTCGGTGTAGCCTTTTACTGAGCCTTCGTGCGTTTCAGTGACTTACTGACGGACTGAGGGTCTACCACTCCAAATTTCAGGTGTTGTGTCCTCCTAGGAAATATCAGACCATTACTGTCAATCCTAAACTGTGCTTTCGCGCCTGTTTGAGACATGGACATTTCAGAGGCAACAGGAAGGCGGTGAAGTCTGCCCCGTATAGGACTTAACTTTGTAAAATCCTTTGTGCGATCGATCGTTGTTTCGTGTCATGTTGCATTTTCTGTACGAGTTTTGACGGGCCCCAGAATGAGGATTTGTATGGCGTGTTATCGGCGTCTAGCTTGGCGGACAGGGTGCATGATACTCGCAGAGATGGACAATGACTTCCATAGATTCGCGGTTGCTCCAAACGCTTGCCTGCACGGGCGTCATTTCCTGTAAATCCCCGTCTGTCGCTCGGCTTCCATCTGTGACCCCAGAGAGAACTTGATGATCACCGTGGCCTCACACCTCAACGGCTGCTTTGACAGCCGGACTGGGCTAGCAGCCCTATTTCTCCAATTTCGATGGCTTGGCGTAGGTAGGAAGTAGCCGGGCTGTGTCGTTTGCAGAGCAGTGTTGTCAGGCTGGTCATCACGCCAAAGTTGTCCTGTGCGTGCCACCGGAATATGTCCTGTCAAATAGGAGGAGGCGGGGCCAATGCTCTGCAACCACAAGTTGCCTCTGCCAGTTTGTGCCCACCTAACCGCAAATTGATGAAGATAACTATCAAGGTAAACCAACTATCGTCCGGTCGCCACACGCGCGCCTACGTCAGTTTGCCACCCGCTGGGCAAGGTTTGAGTGGAAGAGGAAGTGAGAGCAGGTCTCGTTCGCAGCCACCCACACATTGTGCAGTAAGTCACGACGGTTAAAAACAAGGCCACTTGGCTTTACACGCCGTTGCTGACGCAGCCTACTTATTCTGAACAAAGACGCGACCCTCCAGTACTCATCAGTGCTCCATCTGCCACTTTTTTGGAACTCTGCTCACTCCCTTGGGGGTTAATTTTTTGATCTGCTTTGAGTTTGTACTTCAATCAGGTGCCGTTTCATATTTTACATCTTCTTGATTCGCATCCTGCCATTCCGCTTTTGACAACGAATTGTACTTTTCCAGCATCTGCCTAGTGACTCCAGGCGGTTTAATCCTGGGTTCCGTGGATGAGATCCAGAAGTTGCACGTTCGCAGTATTCCACTGGAAGAGACACCCCGTCGTTTGGCCCTGCAGTCTGAGACCGGTAGCCTGGGTGTCATCTGCAATCGACAGGAAGTATTCCAAGAGGGCGTTGGCTTCAAAGCTGTCCGTTCCTCTGCCTCCCTATCCACCAAAGTTCCAAAAACACACAGTTCGGTTCCGAAAACTGTTCCCTGTACGTTCCCTCCCGTTTGCGGGTTCCTAACGACTTTTCTTCCTATGTATCCGGCTCTTACTGTAAGTAGCCCTTTCTGTCCTTGCTCATTAGATTTTGTTGATTCCGTTGATTTTGTCTTGGTCCGCCTTAGACTGGCGGTTGTTACTTTACCCTAATCTAGTTCCTGGCTAAGATGAGCCGGAATTTGAGCGGCAGACAATTAACCAAAATCCTAAAATGTGTTTTACATTCGAAAAGAAGACTTAAGTGGGGCTGTAATATCAATGGTCATGCAGCAGAATCCTAAGATATTTCAGTCACGTCAGTATGCCAGCTGTTGATCGAGCTTCTTCCCGACCGTCTGCAAAAACTACACCGTAGAACATGACTACTTAAGCAGTAGGAATTTTTCCCACTGATCTTTTACGCCCTTATAAATTCAATTACATTTCATAGAAAGCATGCGTAAAATATTCGGTCTCTTACTCATTTGGTAACCAATTAGGTCCTCTTTGCATTTTATGCTTGAAGGAGGAGTACAATTCGGTTTTTGAAAAAAACTTCAATTCCTAAATGACCATGGGCCCGACCTGTCGTTACACTTGCATCCAAAGCTTCCAAACCACAAGCTTTATATTTTCCATGTACGGAAAATCTTACACTTCTATACGCGATTAGGAAGATGCTATAGGGGTTTACAAAATTTTGCGGTGGATTTTGACCATATTCTTTACTTTACAGGCAATATTAGTAAACGTAGAAATGCCGTCGTGTGGAAGGAAACAGGATCGCTGGAACAAGAGCTTTATTCGCTTGACGTGTCAGATTTTTGCTCGAACCCACCATCAGAGACAAGAGCAGATGCAGTGTCTTAGAATGGGCATTTCACGGTATTAAAACTCTCATAAATAGGAGCTTTTCCAAAACTGAATTATCCTCTTCCGTCAAGAATAAGATTTAAAGAAGACGCATTCTTCTGCCAAATGAGTAAAAGAACGAGTATTTTACGCATGTTTTCCATAAAATATATTTGCATTTAAAAGGGCATTGGCAATCAATTACTAATTAAGCAGTCATTTTCTACAATGTAGTTTTCGCAGGTGGCCGGAAAGAAGCTCATTCCAAAGCCAGCATCCTGACTTAACTGAAATATCTTAGGGCCCTGCTGCAAGATCACTGATCTCACAACCCTACGCAAGTAATCTATTCGAGTTGAAAACACATTTCAGAATTTCGGAGGGAAGGCAAAATGGAGCGACTGCGCCCTCCCCCTCCTGCAATTAGGTCGGATTGGTTAGCTCCCATACCGCGTGATAGCGGACGTCTCACTCGTCCTTTGTAAATCTCTCTCGCTCTCTCACTTTGGCTCTCCTTTAACGGATCTTCACGTATTTGCAGCCTGTGTGTCCACCACGATGCCAAAGTTCCGCGACATCGAGGTCTCCTCCCTGCTCATCTACAATCAGGCCAACCTGGAGCTGCAGTTTGCGCACACCTTCTACTTTAGCAACTCCCTGCTAGAGACCGCCATCAGCATCGCCTCAATCAACCTCGAGGCCAAGAACACTGTAGTTTATGCCGTCGGTACGGCGCTCATCGTGAAGGGCGAATACGAGCCGACTAAGGGTCGTATCCACCTGTTCCGCTGGGATCCAGAAAACTCCCGGCTGGAGACCCTGTTGGTGCACGACGTAAATGGTGCTGTATACCGCATCATCGACTTCAACGGCCGTATCCTCGCGGGTATCTCGAGCTCTGTAAGCAACATCCTGTCAGCGCGTTTGACATCAGGGTCTGAATTTTGTCTAGCGCCGATTCCTTTAGGGTTTTCTTAGGACCGTTGAGGATTTGAGTGGTTGCGAACGCTGGAAATGACAAAACGAAGAAGGGTCTTTGGCGTGGTGCTATATACCGAGAGCTTGCAATTCGCAAGACGTTGCTCCTCTCAAACAACCTTTTGTAAAATCCAAGAGGACTGTAAAGGGAATTTTTTTGAAAAAAAATCAGTTTGAACAGACTGTAACTGTCCTTTTTATCTCAGTCCGCCATGGGCCACCACAAACTGGAAGGGCGCTATATCTGCGCGAATCTAACGAATTTCACCCTGTTCGTTATCTACTTCCTCGTTCGTCATGTCTTTTGATTTTTTATTTCCTTCGTCAACACTGTTTTCTCTCTCACTAGGTCCGTCTGTTTGATGTGAAAGATGACAGCCTCCGTCTCGCCTCATCCTTCAACGAAAATATCACTGTTCTTTTCCTGCGAAGCAAGGGCGACTTCGTTCTGATTGGAGACCTGATGCGTTCACTCACCCTGCTCCTCTACAAATCCAACATGAATAACTTCGAGACGGTGAGTCGCAATTACTCTCTAAGCTGCTTTACGGGGTACATGTTCAAGCTGTCACTTCCTATCCGAGAAAGTTATCAAGAAAGCGCAATTTCTTCGATCATTAGAAGTGATCAAGACTCAACTCTCACTTCTAATCAATTTACATACATGGAAACCATGAATCATCACTAACCTGGCGTGCCTGGTAAATTCTGTCTGGAAAACTACTCACTCAGTCAGTTATGCTGGGCTACTGAGGACTACGCAGTAGGTTGAATTATTAGACGTGAAGTATTGCGATGAAGATTGGGACGGCTCAATTCCCAGCCCGTTTGTAATACTTCTTTCTCGTAACCCTGCAGTCAACCGTATTCCCTACTTAAATCAAAATTGGGCAATGAGCGCCAGTACAGTTTGGCTCTGAATTGATCAATCTTAACCCCGAAATGACTTTTGCTGCAAGTTTTACTCACCTACTTAAATGCAGATACTGGGACGGATTGCATCCATAGTCAATTTTCATAGCACATCAATTTCACTTCATACAGGCAGACCTGATTCTCACTATCGTACACTTTCGGTTAGCTTTAAAACAGAAACTGGACTCGAAAGAAGAAGAATATGCGATCACTGGAACAAGAAGTCTAGTGTCTTGATGTTTTGGATTCTCACTGAAACCCATCATCAGAGACAGTCGCAGATAAGAATAGTGGAGGCACAAGGACCGCAGTATTTATAGTACGTACCTGCCGTGGGATTATGTGCGTACTACAATTAATGCCATGATGGCCTATCAGCCCGCGTTCTAGTCGTTAATGGCCGCGATTTCATCATCCGTGTTGAATGTTGCATAATGATTACTCGGCAGTTTGGCTTGCTGTAACTGGCGTCGTTGCTCGCCCGTATTTATAAGTCAAGTAAATAAAGCATCGTAGTTCGTGAATTTACTACGGTCTAATTGCGTGCGAGTTTTGAATTACCGTTGTTTGAAAGACGAAGTATAGTTTATTTGAACATGCAGGACTCAATTTCGGAAATATATGGAAATGTAGTCCAAAACAGTTATCTGCTAGGCCTTCAAAAATTTAAATTATAGGTAAGCCGTGTTTTGAATTCCCACAGAATTAGTACCACACACTCCTCAATCGGAACTAAACCACTACTCAAACTGTGTTAAGCATCAAATGTGATTAAAGTTACAGTTGTGTCGCTGACGAACGAGCCAACTTAGCTAACGACATGCAATCGTCGAAGTATATCTGGTTGCCGACAACAAGTGGGATTTTCGATTATATGCGCAGACTCGACCACTTTAAAGCCTATGCATAGCTGTTTGTACGTACATGTTAATAGGCGGTATGCTATTACCGATAAAGACAAAGCAGGCTGGTAATAACCTACTGCCCATATCATGCGCCGCTGTGCGGCTGCTAGTTGGGCTCGAGAGAGAGAGCCCGTAAGGCACAACGGAACGAGTGAGTTCCGTAAGAACGATCGGTGAACGCCCCTCTACCGTTGTACCTGTTAATGTCATTCAGAACTATCTTTTACTTTATGTTCTCTGTGCCCCCCTGTCCAGGTTGGTCGCCACCGCTGTCCGCGTTGGACGACAAGTGTTGAGATCCTCGATGATGAGCATTTTCTCGCTGCAGAAACGGAGGGGAATATCTTTGTGGTGGCTCGTGATGCACCCGAAAATACAAAGGAACCTAGACTCGCCTGTTTACTCGAGCCACCGACTCCGGTCGCTAGGTCCACTTTTCAGGGCCATTCCGCCTCCGCCGCTGCCACCAGCACTACTGCAGCTGGCGCCGCCGGCGCTGGCTCTGCCACTGCTGCTGCTGCCAGAGGCGACACAGTCTCCGGAGACTCCTCATCTGATGTCCCAACGAGCGCCGCCCGCATCGGTCGCAGTCGAACTGAACATCCGATGGGTCCCGGAACCGGTTCCGAGGAGGGTTCTGTCTCATCCGTCAGTGAGATGCGCACCTTGGTCGACTGTGCCTACATGCACAGTGGGGACTTTATTAACACTTTCGTCCGCGGTAAGTTTTTCTTACTGTGTGCGCTTTTGTCGTGTCTCAGTTGTGCCCGCCTCAACCCAAACAGCGAAGGTGCAGCGGGGCCTGGGGCGGTCCTAGTGTAGCGACCGAAGACGTCGAGGATGACACTTACCGAGTCAGCAAGGCATTAAAATTATGTCCTGGCTAAGACCGATCTGGATGGAGTTTTCAACGCGTCGCTACACTCATCCATGCGAACGGGTTAAAGAAAATTAGATGACCATAAATGCATAGTGGAAACAGAAGGAAACTGGGTATATATGATGGTTAATTGTACAAATAAGATGAGTTCCAGCAGGGTGGGGTGATCTGTCTGGATGGAGAGGTCACACTGACACACCTGCTAGACAACCGGTGGGGAGCGCAGCGCCGTGGCGGCAACCATAGGAGAAGGTCGTAGGAGGTGCCGATGTAGGGAAAGAGAGAGTTGCGACGAGTTGTGAGAAGGGAGATCACGGCAGATAACGAAAGGCACCGGCTGTTTTCACCGACACGCAGTTACACAATCATCATCCTAGATCCGCACCGAAAGTGTGCAGTTCATTCAAACAACCCTATACAGCTCGTGCGGCGTCGAGTAAAGAGACGGACAACCACATGTCCCATCAGCATTCAACTTTCCAAGCAGTCGCAATCACCGGTGATAATATTCCATCCAACAATTTCTAGATAGGTATGCGTAAGGTTGACGTTAACTGACGAAAAATGCAATGAGATGATTTTTATGCTGAAATACCACGGCCTTTGTTGGGTACGATAAGCCAGGTGTTTTCCGCATCCCCCTTCTGTGAGAAAAGGGGCATCGGGGATCAAACATGAAATCGCTTTGATACCGGCAATTGGGCTTCGGTCAAGGCGACAGAGATGGAAAAGTAAAACAAAATCTATACACCGGTTTGCAGTCAAGTGGAATTCCAAGTTAAATACCGCTGATACCGCCTAATCCAGCCATCATAGTTGCCGTGTCGATCCCAAACAGAAGGAAAAGTTAACCATCGAAAACTTTCATAGATTAGGTTCTGTCTCCACTTGTCCTTTCTTATTCCTCGCGTCTAAGACCCCTTGATTGGCCTTTTTGAATTTCCAACACTTAAGGTGAGGACAAAAGCATTTAATTTTGACTAAAATGGAACGGGTCTTTGAAAAATACGCAGTCACCGGCATATCCGATCAATTTTCGGCATAAAGGAACTTTAGTTTTAAAATTATCACCAGGAGAGTACCACCTGAGATTTTTTTTTGCTACCTTCGCCCAAGAAGTCCGCTACAGTTTTGCCTGCCTATCGTTAAAAGATCCTCCACTTTTTTGCAATGCAACCTTCTACCGCTTTTCAGGAAACCTTGTACTTCAGAATTCCGAGGAAAAGTGGCAGGCCACTGGGGATTCGCCCATCCTCTACGGAACCGCCCAAGGCGGCCTCGGCTTGCTCACACAAATTTCTCCAGTACTCTTCGCCTTCCTCAAAGAGGTGGAGTCCCGCATCGCCAATCTGATTGTGCCCGTCGGTGGCTTTGCGCACGAGAACTGGCGCGCTTTCAAGGCTGACAAGGTTATTCGCATGGCACACAACTTTGTCGATGGCGATCTCGTTGAGACAGTGCTTGATCTGAATGCTGAAGAGAAGGCTAAGCTTGTTGAAGGCCTGCGAATCCCTGTACGTCACTTCCCGTCCCTTACCCATGTGTACTTCCCAACTTCCCTCGCTTACACTTTCTGATCTGTTTTAGGCCACAATGGCGCTGTTTGGATCCGCCGGCTCTTCTATGGGGGCTGAACCGGAGACGCGACCCTGCACTGTAGAGGACCTCGTCAAGGTGGTTGAGGAGATGGCCAGTTTGCACTGATGTTATGGACAGCTTCCTTGCTCATTTTGTCAGATTTTCTTCTCTGCCCCCCTCCCCCCCCCACTCTTGCATTCACGTGCGTGCTTTCCTGCCTGTGACATTACGCTTTTTCCCAAAAATGTCCTGCGCCTGTTCCCTTCCCCTACTCCCCCTTTTTATCATCTATGCCACGCCTCCCTCGGGCCTCATCTTGCTGTACCATTGCATACATACATTTTGACATGTTCAGAATTTTCCCCACCTCCCTGTTGCACACCAATGAGCACGCGTACAGTTGGTGACCTAACTCATGAAATATGCCTACTCAAATGGGAAATCACTGGCCGGCACGAAACCGGTCCTAACGCTTTCAGCCAATCATCAAACAGATAATGAGCGGCTTCCAGTTTAATGAAAGCGCAAAACAAGTATTACGAGAACTATTTCATTGAGGAGAGAAAGCACTTTTAAAGAAAAGCGCAAAAGTCGAAAACGTGAAAGGTGTGACATGAGTAGGCTTCGACTTTAGAAGTGTACAATGTCTTCCCATACAAAAAAGTAAGAGGGTGTGAGCACAGTAGTGTTTGGAGAATTGTTTTTTCACTTACGTTTTTATCAAATTTCCTCTGAGAATTAGGATTATATGAAGTCCGGCACGAGGCCAAGTACGTAGTGTCCGGTCATGTGCCGCGACATCCTGTCACACAAGGTCGTTTACGCGTTGTTTGATATTCGGTCAATCCAAACAAAGAGATCTGGCTGATAGAGATGTCACAGGAATAGAAGCTACAATAAGTTCACATAGTGATGGGCCGGTCAGCGACTTGTAAATTTGAGTGGAATCGGCGGATACAGCATAAATGAGCCATTTCGCGTATGTTAAGCGGACTAGTCTCCCATCCGATTTGCGGTTTTTTGATGGGGGAGTGCGTTGGGTTTCAGATCATGGAAATATCGGTGGATACATCACGAGTGTCAGTGCTTTCAGCCGACTGGCCTTAGAGATAGACTGCGCCACGTAATGACCGGAACCTTTAAAATAAGACATTTATTGGAGGCGTTTGTCGAAGTATTGTGCGCCATGGTTTTTTTTCAGGTAGATGATCGTTTGAGTCACATATCAAAGTCCATCTATGTGATGAATGTTCACAAAAAAGCCAACGACGAATGTGATCTATACCAGTTGGGAGACTTTCTCTAGCAATTTAACTGCTTCAAAAGCGCTTACTGCTGTATTCTGTTGACGGACGTCCTCGCAGTTTGTCTTCCCACGGTGAAGCCACAAAGTAGTCGGAACTTTCGGTCCTAGAAATGCTGATAATTTTTCTGTCGAAAACGGAAGAACTTACCTTCCTTTGTCTACTTCAAGACTCAGTCCTAGGACTATAAATACTGACATCGCCCAGACTGTCGATGCCTTGGGCGTTCCGTCTCTAGATTACGTAAAAGCAGAAATTAGACCATACGAAAAGTGTCGTTCCATATGTTGAAAATTCCAGATGAACCGTCGGTTGCTTTAAACGTATTTGCAAATTGGAAGGCATCGGCACTTTTAAATAAGTGATTTTCTGTAGGCGTTATTACTATACTTTGGAGCATGAAGTCACGCAAATTTGCAAACCCGACTTGAAAATCGACAAGACGTTTGGTTCTAAAAACAACCCGTTCGCTACCCGCTTCCCACGGTTAAAGTCTGACAAAAAATCAATTTTTAACTGCGGCAAATTCTGTTTGGTAAACCTCAAGGTCAAATTATCCTCCTCTCAAAGCATGAAGCTTGGATACGCAAGACAGCTATTAGCACAAGGAATTATCCGACTGTATGGTGACATATGTAGATCCACGGTCAGATTTGTAAACATTTTGCCTGATACAATTACTTAGACGCATATTCTACACAATAAAAGAATATTTTCCGGAAGGGGCTGGACAAATGAACTAGATGCGCAACGTGTTAGAGGCCTAAAATTCTCATGTCAATTCCTGTCGTCACGCTTATGGAGTTAGTTCGCATACTGTATGCGAAGAGCCCTCTGTGTTAAGTAGAGTGACAGTACCCCCATGGGTCCTAAATAGAATTACTGATTTATCATTTATATTACCCCTCTGTTTGCGAGGAAAGTCCGTGCTGTTGTGCATCCTCATCCAAACGTACTCGTCTCGTGAAGTCTGGTCTCTTGTGGCCTGAGCTACGAGAGCGGAAAAACAACGGATAACTGAATTCCAGAACTGTTCTTATCAGTTACGTCCCGACCTTTGTGCGGAAGAAATACAAGAAGAAATTGATGCCAATACAGCCAAAAATGCAACCCCAGGAAACCAATTAGAAGCAGGAGAACTTGATCGTCAGTCCACTAGCGCCGTCGCAATGCGGTAGCAGTTTTCCTTCTCGCCTCTGACGAATAAATTAGCGACTTACTTGGTGCTCCTCACGATGACCAGCGTTACTGTCTCTGTCGTCAGTTCGGTGGTAGAGTAGTGAAAGCTCAAAAGAGTCAATGAACAGTACTCATGGGGTAGAGGGTTGAGGGCATTCAGAAACCAGAAAATAATTATAGTCCTGTTATGTTAATATGGCGTGGGGGGGAGGAATTCGCCGGTGAGTTTTGCCTGCGCTTCGTCGCTGGACATGACTACAAACGTGTGGAGCTCAGCTTGGATCGCGGCCGCCTGGTGTCCTGAATGAACGCCTTCTGAGGACACAACACTGGGTTATCTAGCCGCATAACCATTGTCTTCGTCGTTGTAAGTACTCGCTAGCGTAGGAACTTGGAGTGCCTCACCGGCACTTAACTGATGACTTCAAGTGTTTGGTTAATGTCTAACCGGTGGCGACTGTCGACCAAGTGAAACAAAACTGAGCTGCAGATGGACTTCCCAGCGCCTTGATTTGATCAGACAAGCTCCTGTCTTCGTATCCGCAAATGGTGGTCGTTCAAGCTCTCAGACGGCCCTGATTCAAGCTGAGCTCCACATGTTTTACCCGCATCCAGCGACGAAGCGCAGGTAAAACTCATCGACAAATTCCCTTCCCATGCCACATTTGCAGGACAGGACTGCAATTTCCTCCTGGTTTCTGAATGCCCTCTACCCCATGAGTACTGTTCATTGGCTAATTTAAGCTTTCACTGCTTTACTACAACTTTTATATTACTATTCAGGCCTAATAATAAGTGATAGAACATGGGAGCCTGCCGAACATGACCTTCAAAATTTATCTGTTTGTGAGTAGACAATGAGCTCGCTTGTGCCTTTTACCACCGGGGGTCAGTTTGTCGTCTTCGCGGAGGGAAAGGTAAATATACACTCATTTCCGAGCGAACAAACACCCGACCGGGCCCAAATGTGACCAGTGGGGGGACATTGCTATCATTTAGCTTCGATAAGGTCCCTGATCTGCCGGTCGAAATGTCGGCAGAAGGTGGAGCACTCTGTGGCGGACGTTAATAAGCCCGAAACAACTGCAATCTCGGACTCCCTCGACTTTTTAAGATTGAGTCTGTTAAGTGAGAGTAATTTGCAGATAGGATTTTCTTTGTAACTCGATAAAACACCCCAGTGAGCCAATCTTTTACGAAGCGAGGCAGCTCTAATTAATCCCAGGGCAACGGTATAGAGAAGGACCCCATTTAACTGTCAGTAGACTGTGGATCGTGGCGGATGGGATTTATCCTGGCATGCATTTGCAGGCCGTCGCAGAAATTGTACGGCCGACAACGATTACTTCCCACGACCTCACACCTTGACTCAAAATCCGTTACTTTGTGAAATTTACGTTTTGTTTATTGTTTACTTACTACTCTCATCTCCCTTGTCGTACAATAGCGTAGGATAACACTTTCGGCATAAATCCAGTCAATCTCAGTGTTCGCTTTCATTTAGTCAACTTACTGTCTAGCTTGCTGCCTCACCCATAAAACTTCCTTTGCCATAAATCTCGTATGGCACGATCCACAGTCTACGGACAGTTAAGTGGGGCCTTTGTCTATACCGTCGCAAATCTCAGTTATCACATGTTTCGGAAAATATAAGGTCCAACACGCTTATTAGTATTATCTGTTTTGTGAAGGGTTGTTTCGAGATATGTGCTCGGACGTCGCAGTTTCAAGGGCACTGAGTTTCGTTACCTGCTCCAGTAACTTGGTATGACAATTCACTTGTTTTCTTCTTATATTATGAATAAAACTGTAATCGCAGACTGACAAAACATTCACCGTTCCCTTTGCTTACTGGTTTGTTGTAAACTGCTGACTGTGACGTCTTCTGGAAGGCAGGTGAAATGAGTGTGTTACTGACACGACCGTAATAATCTCCACCGAACTTTATAGTCCTTAATACTAACTTCATAGACGTCCACTAATGAAATGTTGATCGTAATCAACAGTCTCCGTCTTTTCTGTAACATACCATCGACAAAACTATCGTATCTATAGTTGTAAATTCAGAGTACTGTCTTCTCCGTTCTTATCTGATTGCTAAGTTGGCTACGAACAACTGCGCACTTATGCGAGCCTAACATATGACAACAACTCGATTGAATGACTCCTTCACTTGTTATCTACGATTTATTAACACAACATAATCACTGCCACTTATGGCATAATGCCGCGAAACGAAGTCCACATGTTTCAGCTACTGCTGCCTTAAAGCGTGAAGATACACCAGGCAAGCTACGTTCAAACGCTAGATACCGCCTTTTTTAAACGTATACGTCCCGACAAGGACAAGGGCCACAATCTCCCCAACGCTATATCCGGCGGTTGCTGTGACCTTTTCGACTACTTCTGGAAGCAGACTTACGCCACACCTGTCATGGCGCTTCCTAGTTACAACAATCGGGGGCAGGGGGGCGCGGTGGCTTGCAAAACTAACTAACTCGTCTACGCCTGACACACTGGAACCTGCTACTAATAGCGCACCTACTTAGTTTCAGTTAGGGAGCCTGGTGCCGCACAAATGTCGTGTAAGTTCAGAACTGCTGCAACCTGACTCGCAGTTCTGAGTAGGATCTAGTTATTCCG